AGTCCACCTGTTTTTCGTCACTTATCAAAATAACATTTTCATTTGGACTTTTCTTTTGGCTAGTGGTCTGTGGTTTGCTAATCAGATGCCTTCCCGCATTAGCGGTTTGTTTATGTATCCCGATAACACAGCCCGTCGCCAGAACACACCCGATTCCTTTATCCACTCAGAATTTCCCTGCCATTGTAATGACACTATTCGCCATTTGTTACTTATCAAAATATCCTTTATCCATTGTCTCTTAGCCGTGGGTGTTCTGCTTATCATCCACGCTTTGGGTCTTCGCCTCTCTTTTCCTTTCTTTCCTTTCTTTTCTTTTTCTGCCTTGGTAAATGGTGCCACACACACACACACACATTATATATATATATATATATATATATATATATATATATATAGGCAGTAAATCCACTTTTAGACATGTCTGATTGAACAAGTTACGAACGTTATATCTGCTTATTTTGAGCATAATCCTTTCATATTCACAAATACTTTTTCGTATATTACAATTAAATGAGACAAAATTTACTGTAACAGTGAGAGTCACTTTTATTTCACAAATACTTTCCATCTCTTTCTGAGATCATCATCAGAGGTACAGCTGAAAAAGCATATATATATATATATATATATATATATATATATATATATATATATGTCCTGTGCCTTTTCAATAAAAAAATTTCATGGCAATTATTTTGATGAGCATTCCGCTTTTGTATCTAGACTTTATGAAGTTTAGTATACTACTAGACCGGAGCCAAGTTATCACCATCTTGTAGTTGAAATGATTAGATGTGACCGTGGTTTTTATTATAACAATTCCTTCTCCAGCATTTCTGGCTTGTGGAACTCTTTTCTAGCTTCGTGATTTCTAAAACAATTGGCCTTATAATCTCTAATAACCCTACATCCACACAAAGAAATCCTCTGCAAAAAAAACAAAAAAGACAAAAAAACGAAAAACCAATGCAGTGTATCAATTTACCTGCCCGTTCATAGACTGTATCTCTGATGCTAATAATAAACCCACTACATACATTGGTTTTACTACAACCACACTCCCTCGCAGACTTACCTGTCACCTTTCTGATATTAGTTCTATTAAACAATATTTCTTAGAAAAACATAGCCATATACATAATATTAGACAGATATTAGTTGATAACACAACAATACTCACATATACACACAGTAAAAATGACCTTCAGATATTGGAGGACAACTACATTAAAACGAAGCAACCCACACTCAACAAAATTACATTTCAAAATAGTCACAATACATTACATTGCATCTAGACATCTGGTTCTGTTGTAATACTTCGGTCTATCAAATGGTATGACGTCATAGAACCGCATATGGAACGTACGCTCTATGATCTGATTCTGATATTCAGCGACCGTTAACATCGCATAGCAATCTTCTATGTCAAAATAACAAAATATCTTTGACAGTGGATATCTTTGTTTCATGTTTGTAGATCCAATCTGAGAATGGTTCATGTGAGTCAAAAGCTTAGGACCAATTGAATAAAAAAAAGATCAAAATGTTGTAAAATTTTTGTCCTCCGAAATTAAAGCAACTATTCGAACTTTAGAATGGTTCATGTTCAAACATAATAGACATTCATTTCTATTATATTTAATAATATATGTTTAAATAATGATCTGCTATGAAAATATATATATATATATATATATATATATATATATATATATATATATATATATATATATATATATATATTATAAAAAATTTAAAATTAAACTCAAAATTTGCTATGTTGCGCGCTCCAAAAACAATAACTCATTTCCAATAGCATTTACGGATACAACAATACATATATTTTCGTTGTCCTCTTATTACTAAGAGAAAAACAAGAACAACATCTATTCTATACCTGAAGATGTCTGTAGGAACAGACGAAAGCTTGTAGTAAAAATAAGAACTAATACGGCAGAAATTTATAGAAACAAGGATCTTTTCATTCATAACGGATTCGGAGGTTTTTGTATATTATTTGACTTGTTTGCGACGATGGATTTCTCGCCAATTAAATCATTAACCTTTACATTTGTTTTTCGTGTGAATACTTCATGAATATATATATATATATATATATATATATATATATATATATATATATATAGAAAGAAAGAAAAGTAAGATATATAATCCGGTGTTCTTATACATATTTTTATTTTTACAAAATAGTGCTCAATGTAAATTTGCAGAACATTAATATTATAAATTAATTGATTTAAAATATTTTTTCGCTACGCAGTTTTAATCATGTTTCAAAAATGGAAGCTAAAAGCTTCGAATTTAATTTTGTAATTAAATTAAAGACATTAGTTCCATTTCACCCTCAAGCGAATTTTAAATCAATTTATAATATATATATATATATATATATATATATATATATATATATATATATATATATATATATATATATATATATATAAAGATATGTATATATTATTTTTGTATATACATAATCTAGTAGAAAAATTTTTTGAGATCGAAAGGTCATCCACAGTAAGGTTGCGCCCAGGCTCTTAGAATATTTCAACATTCGAGGGAAATTTTCTAATTTCAATTGTCGGATCTAATAACAAAAATGATACAATCAAAAGAAAAAAGAATTTAAATGAGATCGGCTGGATTATTTATATATAAAAGAAATTTAAAATATATATATATATATATATATATATATATATATATATATATATATATATATATATATATATATATATATATAAAACTATATGTAGACAATCTTTCTTTAATATCATGCCTTTTGTTCCTCACCTCGCCACAAAAGGAAGAGGAGAGAACAACACTAATTTGAAGAATGTTGCACAAAACAAGATCGGACATTCTGGTCCTAAGCGTTTGCTAAAACTTGGATATTATTCCAAAAGGATTTAAATCGCGGAACACAAGCCATAGATCCAAGCCGAAGCAAATCTACGACTCTTCGACTTCTCAACTACAAAACCTTACTCTTAATGTTGCCTATCCCAAACTACACATACTTTTCAAATTTTGCAACAGCACAGGTTTTATTCTGCACAATTCACTCACTCTTAATCATTCTACCGATATTTATCATGTCCTAAATAACATTTAAAATAATCATCTTGACTAATACCTAATGCGCAGGAAAAACAAATTAAATAATTTAATTAAAAAAAAAACTCACTTGACTTGTGACAGTTCAAGTACAATAAATTTACGTTTATACAACAAAGTAAAACTGGAAATTATATCGGCGAATCCTGTATCGATTTCAGTCTTCGGTTTAATAACCATAAAAAAAAAATCTATCAAACATAAAACATCAGTTTCAATGTAGCTGCACATTTCAACCGAATGCACCATAGTATTGATAACGTCAGATGTAGACGAAAGTCTGTGTTAAAATACATTTTGAAAATGAATTCACAGATACTAGGTTTAAATAGGAATTTAGATATAATCAATGAATGCAGCTTCTGCAAAAGACATCTACAAACACTTTACAAGACTAATCAGGAAAACAACTAACCCGAAACTACGAGATTCCATCAGTAATATAATACGTGCGGGAAAAGGATCTCTTCCAAAAATGTCCAAGTTATTTTTATAACTCATTTACAAACAAAATGGAGGTAAGTCCGAAAATATCGATTTTTAACATAATTTTTCATCACGTTTCCATTTTGTCAAAAGAATAAAATAAATAGTATTAGTCTTTTTATCAGTAATTTTATTTTTGTCGTTTTTCTATCTCTCGAATTTCTTTCGTCGACCTAATCTATGGACATATATATATATCTATATATATTCCGGATTCCACCAGAATAACGTTGGCTAATTGATTGTTGTTTTTAAGTTCATATTCCTTCTTATATATATATATATATATATATATATATATATATATATACGCCCTCGAAAAAATAACATTCGGTCGAGCACTTTATAGGGAAAGCGCGAATTTGTAAGCAGTGACTGCTACTGCTGATAATGCAAAGCTCTTCCATGAATTGATCACTCTGAGTCACTAGCGTGTTTATTCAAAAATAAATATATAAAAACTTAGGGGAAAATCTACGACTGATGCCAACACCTAGCCACACTGATGATCTGTGATATATATATATATATATATAATTCCATCAATACGAAAATTACATTAGCCAGCTGAAGTCGATTAAAAACGAATTTTTCCACTTGGATATTTAATTGCCTAATTCCATCACCCTCCATCCAGCCATCCATTCATCAATCAATCTATCTATCTATCAAAACGAAGTTGATGGAAAAAATTGATTATAGTTTGGTACACACATGTATGTATATAAATATGATTATATAAGAATACACACACACATACACACACACACACACACACACACACACACACACATATATATATATATATATATATATATATATATATATATATATCGATAGAGAGAGAGGAGGAAGAGGACAGAGAAGTAGTTAAACATGCTGAGATAGATAGATAGATAGATAGATAGATAGATAGATAGATAGATAATTTCGATTGACTGAAAAAGGTCGATATTAAGAAACTTATCTGGCGAGACAATAAAACATTGAGATAATTAAATGATACGAACAGATAGATAGATAGATAGATAGATAGATAGATAGATAGGGATCAATCGATAACAAAAAGTCCGATATAGATAGACATATTACCGGATAGATAGTTAGAGAGATAGAGTTAGGATAGGGATCAATCGATATAAAACAAACCGACATAGATAGATAGATAGATAGATAGATAGATAGATAGATAGATAGATAGATAGGGATCAATCGATAACAAAAAGTCCGATATAGATAGACATATTACCGGATAGATAGTTAGAGAGATAGGATAGGGATCAATCGATATAAAACAAACCGACATAGATAGATAGATAGATAGATAGATAGATAGATAGATAGATAGATAGATAATGATAAGATAGGGATCAACCGATAACAAAAAGTCCGATATAGATAGACATATTACCGGATAGATAGATAGATAGATAGAGAGAGAGAGAGAGAGAGAGAGAGAGAGAGAGAGAGAGAGAGAGAGTTAGGATAGGTATCAATCGATATAAAACAAACCGACATAGATAGATAGATAGATAGATAGATAGATAGATAGATAGATAGATAATGATAAGATAGGGATCAATCGATAACAAAAAGTCCGAGATAGATAGATAGATAGATAGATAGATAGATAGATAGATAGATAGAGTTAGGATAGGGATCAATCGATATAAAACAAACCGACATAGATAGATAGATAGATAGATAGAATTAAGATAGGTATCAATCGATATCAAAAAGATGTAGATAGATAGATATATTTGGCTAGAATTTTAGATTACCATAAATGTCATGTAATATTCTGCGATCAATAATTCCTTTTAACTTGGTTTTAAAGTTTATTAATTCTAGTAATGTAATTCATTTTCTCCGATAAATACGTTCAGACGAAATCCTTTTTTCCTGCGTCGATTTCCATGAATACCAACGATATTTTTATTATTTTATTTAAAAAAAAAAAAAAAAACTTTATTCATTTCTATAAGATTTTTTCTTAGAAAAACACTTTATTTAAAGTACATTATATATTTTGATGCAAATTTTGCTCCAAGCATAACTACTGCAGATTAGATTTACAATTAAAACGAAATTCTTCTATATTTATCCTCGGCTTTTATATAATTCATCCGTAAGTCGAATATTTGAAGGCTATGAATTTAGGCTGAAAAAGCGAGTCGACTAATACAAGCGTAACTTAACTATTTAGTTCAGCCGCACAAGGCCGAAAATATGATCGAGCAGATGTTAGTGTTGATAAAGGCTCGTGAATTGAATGCACTTTTGTCTCTAGGCTTCAAAGTTATTAATAAATATCCGAGAATATAGTCAAGTTGTATTCCACAAAAAGGATGTGTTCTCTCAGCAGATTATTTAACCTATTCAGCGAATTGATTCTAAACGATCCACAAAGGTTACCAATCTCAACAACCTACTCCTCGTAGAAGTCACTCGGTTGGTCTTTTGTCTTTTATCTGCCTTACCCATGGAGGACGTAGGCGATCATGGCCCTCCACCTCCTACTGTACCTTGTAGCTCTTAAAATGTTTTCTCCTTTTTTTATTTCTCCCGGACCATGTTCCTCCATCCACTTTCTCAAGCCCATTATGTCATGCGTTGCTTTCCTTTGTCCCTCTTTCCTCTCAATCCGCCTTGTGAGTATCATATTTTCCAAGCCCTCTTTTCTTATTATACGTGTCCCAGAAATTCCAGCCCCCTCTTCATGCTGTTAAGTATAAGTTTCCTCTTTGTTTGCATCCCGTCTAAAACCTCGTCGTTGCTCACATCTTCGGCCTTTGGTATCCTCAGCATCCTTCTGTAGAACCACTCTTCTTTTGCTTCGGGTCTCTTCTTCATCTTTAAGGAGATTGCCCATCATTCTCTGCTATACAAGAAGACAAATATCTCGTAGCAGTTCAGTATTCTTTTCTTTGTTGCCAACGAAACTTTCCTGTCTCGTAATACTCTGATTAGCTTTTGGAATGAGTCTTTGGCCATTCCAATAAGTCTTCGGATCTCAGTGTTTCACGTTCTGTGTTCTGCTAGAACACTTCCAAGATATTTAAATTTATGTACCTGCTTGTCCCCGACTTACTCATTTTTTTTATAGCAGACTCAAAAAAAAAAAATTCTAAAGAAATATATTAAACAAAGTAGTTGATGAATGAGGTGTACCGTTAATTTGCAGCAAAGCGGTTGATCTTGCTTTACCCAGGTGAATTGGGATGGGGAACTGTGCTGGTCCACGGCCTACATCAAACATCTATACATGGCCACAAGATGTCGCATGGAGCTATGCAAATGCCAACGAGATACATCTGCCGGCTAAACTGTGTGAGGGTAGTCGAAAGAGTTTCCCGACCCAATCAATGAAGGGGACGCCTCTCCCTAATCCATCTCTGCCAAGCCGATATCGGCCAGTCGCCTGTCTGTGTATAAAAGCTGAGCCTCAGAGGTCAACGACTTTTCCAGTGGGATGAGAAACTGCTGAGTGAAGGGACAAGGTAACCTCAATATTCCCTGTTCAAAAGAAAACGGCAAGCCATTCATTGTTTTGCCTTGAATATCACCATGAACGACAATTGCAACAAGAAATATATATAAAATGCGCTAAATGAATAAATAATTGAATGAATGTGTAGTTGATCTACGAAGGATGCGTGAATATTTAAGATTGTGCTGCAAATAAAATATGCAATATCCATAAACATAGATTATAAGAAATGGCCAAATGGGAACAATATTCAATTACAACAAAAAATGCATGTTTGAAACAACAGATTAAATTTTATATACATAATTTACAATTTCTTTGTTTGTAATGATGTGTGCAAAGGTATAGAGAAAAAGTTCTTTGCTGTTTCAGAAATGTTCAATGTCTAAAATGTTGTCTGCCTTTGATTGAAAAGATTGACTTTAACTTAGACAAAAAGATTTTTCTATGAAAGATATTAAGAGAAAAAGTTTGTTGTATGAATTTACAAATTTACAAATGAGTCGATGAAGTAGTCGATGAATGCAAAAAGAAGGGACGGAATATTAAATATCTGTCCACATTTCTGAGATGAGGTATTATGTACACTATTTACATTATTCTGACTATTGTCCTCATCTTTGTCGCCATGTTTATCACAACGTTCCGGCCTTCTTCAGGCGGTTGGAATGTCGAAGTGAACCCTTTAGTTCGCTCACTGGGGTAGGTTGTTTTAGTTCCACGTGCCATGTCTAAAGGATGTCAGTTAATTCCCCCAGAAAGTTCTCCACTGCCTTAACCAGGTATTGAACTCACGCTCTTTGGGTTCTGTCACTGGCTCTAACTTTACGCCTTTATCCACTGTGCCATGTGTTCTCAACATTGTGATAAACATGGCGACACAGATGAGGACAATAGTCCGAATAATGTAAATAGGAACATTAAATGTATTGAAGAATGTGATTGTTAGAAAAACGACAGGTAAAGTTGAGAGTTACGTTACAATAATAATCTCTTTATTATAATAAATGCGTGCCGTAGTAATCCTGGGGTTTATAGAAAATAGCGATTGTTGCCTTTCAGAAGCTGGGCAAAGTATCAAGGATCAGAAAACATCCATGGTAACAAAGAAAAAAAATTCTGAAAAATATTTTGTGGTGAACAAATGACATCTTACAGGAAAAAAATATTAGTTTTTATTAATTTAACACATAATTAAAAATTATTGAATTTAAATATTTTCTTTTCATGCGTTAGGTCGTAGGCGATCATGGCTCTCCACTTCACCCTATCTCTTGTGGCTCTCAACAGATTTTGTGTTTCTGCCAACTCTCCGCCATCCATCTGCCCAAGCCCACCATGTATGTCATGCGCTGTTTTCCTCTGTCTCTTTTTCCTCTCTTTTCGTCCCGTGAGTATCAAATTCTCCAGGCCCTCGTTTCTCATCATGTGTCCCAGAAATTTCATCTGCCTCTTCTTTATGTTAAGGATAAACTTCCTCCTTGTTTCCATCCTTTCCAAGAACTCATCCTCGCTCACATGCGCGGTTCATGATATCCTCAGCATCCTTCAGTAGAACCACATCTCCGCCGCCTCGAGTCACTTCTCCATCCTTGAGGATACCGTCTGTTATGAGACCTTGCCCATAAAAACATAATGGACTATTCCATACGTAATAAATACTGCGCCAAAAGAGGAAGCAGGGAGTTCAGACCGAAGTCGGGCGACTGGCTGACCGGCTGACCGGTTGAACTCTCTGCCTTCGGGCGGGGAGGAACCCGAACGAGCCTACGCCGAAGGGTGGAGTCTGTTTCGGGGAGGTAAACCGACCCTGAACCCGTTCATACGGGTTCAAAGGGCATATTTTTGGCCGAGCCCATGGGCTCGGAGATCCCACATTAAACCGGCCTTGTGCCACATGATGCCCTCGTTGGGGGATGACTAAATACCGTTCCGTCTGAAGCCTGGAGTGAGGTCCGTCAGGAGTCTGTAAGTCAGTCAGATCGAGTCCGTCAGTCGAGCCAGCGGCAGTCTGAAACAGAGTCGCGTTCAGACAATTACTACAAGACATTGGAATAGTGATACTGGTCGAGACTACATTGTTCTCCCTACTAAACCTGATTGTTCGTACTAACACTTTCTACTTCTCTGTATATATTCCTGTTTGTAATATATCTGTGTTATTCCATATCTGTGTTCGAGTTCTTCTTTATTGGCTCTACCTTGGACTATCACCGTGGTACAAGGAACCGGACTATAACACCGTCCAACATTCGCTGCCGTATAGGAGGACAGATGTCACGTAGCAGCTCAATACTCTTTTCTTTGTCACCACAGAATTCCTTCTGTTTATCAGTACTCTGACCAGTTTCTGGAATGCATCCTTGGCCATCCCAATCCGTCTCAGCTTCGTACCTACTGTCGTCCGTCAGAACACTTCCCAGAGGCTTTAACTTCCGCACATGTTTGATTTTAGTGTCCCCGACCTGCACATTGCATTTTGGGCTCATCCTTTTATTGATGACCATAAATTCTGTCATGTAGTTTATCTGTCTGTTATCAGTACCATGTCATCTGCGTATCTTATGCTGTTAAGGTTGTGGCCGCCAATAATGAATCTTGGTAGGATCTCCAGTTCCCTCAGAATTGCCTCGTTGTATAAATATCATGTTAAATTCTAAACATATTACTATTAAATGCTTCTTGGCTTACGATGAAAATGTTCAGGAACTGAGGTGTAATCAACAACAGTATCAAATCGTTATCAGCTGTTATAGACTGCTGGAGGTTTTGCCATCTGCCCGACTTACTGCTTTTCTCAAATTTACTCTATATATTTTTCTCCCTAACAATTTTATACAAGAGTATAATCCCGAAACCTTGAAAATGACTAATAGATTAGCGGAAACGATCGGAGTAAACAAGGCTTAAAAAGATTCAAAAGAAATCATTTGTTTGCATACACGAAAAATACAGTATAAAATTATCAGAACGGACTAGTCAGAGATTTTTACGAAGCATTTATCAGATAGGGTTTCCTACCCAAACAAACACACAGAAAAGGAAAAAAAGTAGCTAAAATCAATAATAAAATATGCAAAAATTATTTTTTAACAAAAAATATAAAAATAACGAAAATGTGAAAATCGGCAGATTGTTGCTGATATCTGCTAACGAATGTAACGAACGTTACAAAAAGGTGCGTCTACGAACCTTTAGAGTCGGGGTACTGAATGTAATATCAACAAGATAAGTGACAAACTTTATATTTGTATTAATCCTATATATATATATA